CCCTGAAGATGATATACTCGAAGATGTCGTCCCGGGGCGGCACCTGGCGTTCGGCCGGTCTGTCTTCAGTGCCATAAGAGCGCACTAATGGACACAACAAAGCAGACAATCATTACATTATGGCATCGATTAAACAACGGATCAATCAATGGGTGACAAAATGGATGACACATACCTTTCGACAACGCGATTGTCGACTCCTTGGGATCAATCGTGTAGAGTATCCCCTCATACCTGATCTCACTCTTGGAGATCAACGAGATTTTACACCCGAGGAATGGTGTGGTAGTCATCGTCAGTCTTCTTGCTTATGGGGATGTTTGCGGTGATCGTCAGCGCCGGTGCTGTCGAAGAAGACAATCAAAAGAGTGGATCAATAGATGGCTTACAACACAAGCGTACGAATGGTGTGTATAATGAATGTGTGAATGAATGGACACAACAATAGCTCGCATAACACACAACACAACCAGACATACAGTCAATGCATTTACCACTCAATCGCTGTCTCTCTCTCTGTCTCTGTATCGCAAACGAATGGCAGACAACTAGTGGTGAACCTAAGCGTAGGGCTCGAGACGAACGAATGAAACGCTGTGCCACTCGACCGCTCCTTTTATATGCCAGTCAATGGTAGTCAGGGTTGAGTCGAGCGATCAACTCGAGCCCAATCATAGGCGCGCCTATTATCGCGTACAACACTACAGCCCTTTACACTACACACCAATTACGTCAAGTTCAAAGAGTTTAACAAAGTGTTTGAATATGATTTGAGCATGGAAAGTTTTTACTTACACACAAAAACACCATAGTTTAGTACAAAACCAATAAACTGATGGTGAAAAATATGATACAATGCTAAATAAATTAATTTATACACTCATCTAGCCATAATAAATTTCAGCCATACAGTCAACGCTATAACATTGCTGAATATAAAAGTATACGTAGAGTACAGTGTGCTTAAGGCCGAGCGATGGCAGCGCTTGTGTCGCATGAATAGTCACTCACCACTGGTTGCGTTCACCACTAGTCGATGACGTCGAGTGGCACTGATTGCCAGCCCTTATCGCCTATCGCACAGTCCATAGCACTGCATAGGCTGTGGCACAGAGTGTATGCGTATTGAGTGGATTGAGTGGTATCGAGCGCTCGCATCGCTAGTCTATGGTGAGAGAGAGTGAGTGGTGGAGAGCGCAAGCATTTACGCTGTACTGACTGCTCGCTCACTACAGCATACGAATGGCATTCAGTATGTGTTTACCCACAGCACAGGTATGTCTTACGCTTATAGCAAAATGGCTGCCAATAGTAGTCATCAGCAGAAGTCACTCGAAGAGATGCTCGCCTCAGAAGTGGACGAATCCGAGATAACGGCACTCGTCGGCTCACTCGAGACACAGCTCGACCCGAGACAACACACGCGCACCGCAGCCACAGCGCCCGCAGAGGCCCTCAAGACCATCATCAATAGCAACCCTATCAACAACACCAACACTATCACTACGGACACAGCCGTGTTGTCGCAGCCCATCATCACCACAACCACGTCCCGCCCGCCATCGCAGCCACAGCTGGTAGTGGTGGCCAACAAACAGACAGTGAATACCACGGCCTCCGCAGCCGTTACGGACGCCAATAGTGTTGTTAATCATAGACTTAATAATAATAATAGTGTCAACAACTCTACGGCACAATTGTTGGCTTCAGCGCCGAGTGGTGGCCAACAAATGGTGATCAATAGTCAACCCCCTCCTCAGCCACAGCCCCTGCCGGTGGCCCATAAGACTACGCTTAAGATTATGACCAATAATAACAATAATAATACAAATAGTGTTAATATAGCTGTTAATAGTAATAATAATTTAAATAATACTAATAAAATGTTAACCACGGGTCAGCCGCCGCCCATTGGCCAGACCTCAGTGGCCACACTTCCCGGCGCTCTGCCGGCCAGCGGTTATATATCCCAAGTGACGAACGCATCGGTAAATACCACTATTGGATGAATTGTTTACAAATAATTATAATTTTTTTTGTTTACTTTCCGTAGAACCCGACCATGAATTCGGTGACAACCGCTCCGGGAATGGCCGCCAATCAGATAATCAAAAACGCGATACAAGTGTCGGCGATGGCCAACGGGAGTCCCGCGGGCTCGCCGTCGCCCTTACAGCAGTCGCTGCAGTCGGGCCTTCAGCTCCGGGGGCCTACACCGGGCGCCGGTGGCCAACACACGCCCACAACCATCTCGTTAAGTGCAATAACGCCGTCGTTAGTGATCAACAAGTCGGGCGCGAACGCCGGTGCGGGCGGTCCGCACAAACCCGGACAGACACTACTGATCGCCACCACCAAAGACGGCCCAATGATTGTGCAGCCGTCCGGCCATCCGCTCGTCGGCCAACAGACAATGACAAGTGGCGCCACCGATGGCGCGGCCAATCACGGCCCGGGCGGTGGCGGCGCGTCGATGGTCACACTGGCCTCTCGTACGGCGCCGGGCAATGCGGGTTCCGGTGCCGGACAGCCGACGAATCTGATGCAACAGCTGGTGTCCAACCATCCCAACCAAATATTTCAATTAGTGACTAATATGAACGCTAGTCGACCGCAGGGCGCCGGCGGACCCGGTGTCGGTCCCAACGCCAGGACGTTAGCCCCCCGTATGGTTCAGTTGCCCGCAAACATGAGGCTTACACCGCAAGTCCTCAGACCCGGCGGTCCGTCCGGATTTGGCCCGGTATGTGTCGAGTGCTGTGATTGGTTTGCTTGTGTCGTGTGATTGTGGCCATTGTTATTGATGGTATTGTCAATTGATCCCAATAGTTGTCTTAGGAAAACAGTTAGCGATAGATATCGGTATTCGGGGCACCAGTAGGTCACTGATAGCGACGGCAATGCGTTTGTTTACCCTATTGTTTACATACAGTAATAGCGCGCTATTATTTTCAAACTCGTTTGTTTTGGTTTTGGCTATAGTGTGAGCGCTGGGTTTGAGTGCACTCTCGCCTATACAGTGCTACTACAGTATGCGTGTTGTGTGGGGGCGGGTGAGTGCGAGTGTGGGCCCTCCTATACTAACCATGTTTTATGTGTGACCATAGGGGACGATAACGTTGCCATCAAATCTGGTCCGCGCGGGAACCATATTCGTGAAGACAGAGAACGGGCAGGTGCACATGGTCAATGTGGGCCCACAGCCCACCTCCGGCCCCAACGCCGCGCCCAACGCCACCACATATCGACTGCAAGTGCCCACAACCGTCGGGGGCGCCACTGGCGTACCCGGGGGTCCGTCACCGGCCACAGCCATGCGAACCATAACCAATCCCATAGTGATGTCAATGCCCGGCGGCCACCTTCAGGGCAAGGCTACGGCCGCGTCCGCCGCTGTCCAACAGCAGCCGCCGATGACCACACCGTTGACGATATCGACGACGGCTGCCAACGCGTCGGGCGCCACGCCGTCGCAGATGTCCCCAAACACCGCCAAAAAGAAGTGCAAAAACTTTTTGTCCACTTTAATACGATTGGCCAGCGATCAGCCCCCGAATGTGGCCACAAATGTTAAGAATCTAATCCAAGGCCTTATCGTAAGTGTGATGTTTGGTTTGCGGAGTACTAAACGTTAGTGTTTTAATCGGTGACCTTTTTGTCTGTCCCACCCATAGGACGATGCAATACAACCCGAGGACTTCACGAATCAATTGCAACGAGAGCTCAACTCATCGCCGCAGCCGTGTTTAGTACCATTTCTTAAAGTATGTGTCCACTCGTGTGTCCACACAATCGCATAACCAGTCTTTTAATGGCATTGTTTTTGTTGTGGTTTTGATTTTTGCAGAAAAGTCTCCCGTATTTAAGGTTTTCATTAATGCAAAAAGAGTTAACCATTGAAGGCGTTCGGCCGCCGCCTAACGGAACGGTAACGTTGCCGACGAACTCACAGCACATCCCACAGATTCAGGTGATTGTCTTATCCCGTATTTAAGGTTTTCATTAATGCAAAAAGAGTTAACCATTGAAGGCGTTCGGCCGCCGCCTAACGGAACGGTAACGTTGCCGACGAACTCACAGCACATCCCACAGATTCAGGTGATTGTCTTAAGTTGTTGTTCACTCGAGATGTGTGCACAACTTTTGTGGTCTCGAATGTGTGATTAATCTTTTTGTCTTCGTCACAGATCGCCCAAACGGGTCCGCGACCGGGTATCGGCCAAACCGTACGCTTATTGACTCCCGTGGGAGGCCTTATGGGCAGTCCGGCCACCACTGTGTTGACACCTATGACCCAAACGGGTGCCCGACTGCAAGCGCCGCAAACAATGGTGAGACCACCTGTGGTCGCGTCCACGCCGTCGACCGGCACCACAAGCACACCGTCTTCGCGGTCCAAGTCGTCGGCGAAGTCGCGGTCGAGCGCTGCCAAAGACAAGGAGAAGAAGAATAGCAGTAACTTTTCGTCCACTTTGCGCGACGACGACGACATCAATGACGTCGCGGCGATGGGAGGCGTCAACCTTCAGGAGGAGAGCCAACGCATTCTGTCCAACGCCGAGACCGTCGGCCAACAGATCCGCTCGTGTAAAGACGAAGACTTCCTGTTCACTAATCCGTTGCATAAGCGGATCAACGAGATTGGTATGCATTTTGCCGGATCTGCTTTTGGTGATGATTTGATTGAGTGATTTGCTGACTGACTCTCTCTCTCTAATAGCGAGTAAATACGGTTTGGACGAGTGCTCGACGGAAGTGGTGTCACTGGTGTCGCACGCGGTTCAGGAGCGGCTCAAGACATTGGTGGAGAAGTTGGGAGTGATTGCGGAGCACAGACAGGAACAGGTGAAGAGTTACGGCCACTACGAAGTGGTGCAGGACGTGAAGGGCCAGACGACGTTCCTCCAGGAGTTGGACAGAATCGAGAAACGCAGACACGAAGAACATCCCGTATTTAAGGTTTTCATTAATGCAAAAAGAGTTAACCATTGAAGGCGTTCGGCCGCCGCCTAACGGAACGGTAACGTTGCCGACGAACTCACAGCACATCCCACAGATTCAGGTGATTGTCTTGAGTTGTTGTTCACTCGAGATGTGTGCACAACTTTTGTGGTCTCTAATGTGTGATTAATCTGTTTGTCTTCGTCACAGATCGCCCAAACGGGTCCGCGACCGGGTATCGGCCAAACCGTACGCTTATTGACTCCCGTGGGAGGCCTTATGGGCAGTCCGGCGACCACTGTGTTGACACCTATGACCCAAACGGGTGCCCGACTGCAAGCGCCGCAAACTATGGTGAGACCACCTGTGGTCGCGTCCACGCCGTCGACCGGCACCACAAGCACACCGTCTTCGCGGTCCAAGTCATCGGCGAAGTCGCGGTCGAGCGCTGCCAAAGACAAAGAGAAGAAGAATAGCAGTAACTTTTCGTCCACTTTGCGCGACGACGACGACATCAATGACGTCGCGGCGATGGGAGGCGTCAACCTTCAGGAGGAGAGTCAACGCATTCTGTCCAACGCCGAGACCGTCGGCCAACAGATCCGCTCGTGTAAAGACGAAGACTTCCTGTTCACCAATCCGTTGCATAAGCGGATCAACGAGATTGGTATGCATTTTGTCGGATCTGCTTTTGGTGATGATTTGATTGAGTGATTTGCTGACCGACTCTCTCTTTCTCTCTCTCATAGCGAGTAAATACGGTTTGGACGAGTGCTCGACGGAAGTGGTGTCACTGGTGTCGCACGCGGTTCAGGAGCGGCTCAAGACATTGGTGGAGAAGTTGGGTGTGATTGCGGAGCACAGACAGGAACAGGTGAAGAGTTACGGCCACTACGAAGTGGTGCAGGACGTGAAGGGCCAGACGACGTTCCTCCAGGAGTTGGACAGAATCGAGAAACGCAGACACGAAGAAC